TTCATATAAATAAACTGCTATACAAGTATTTTTTATTTTCTATCTTAACTATTTATTTTGACAGCTAAGCTACTTAATCACATCAGTCATTCATACATCACATATCGAGTAGATTTGACATAAGTACACACACATACACAAACACTTTGTTATAGTTAGATGGTTGGCAAGGATTGGTCTAGACTCTAGACTCTGAGGATTATTATGACGTGTGTAATGCGTTCGAGATTCCAAAATTATAGCTATATTCGTATTAAATGTACTTGATTTCATAATTTTTTTAAATTTATTATTAATGGTTTATTTTTTATTATATTTTATATTTTTTACTTCATAATATAATATTTAATATTTTTAAATTATATTTTGTTCTTTACGTCATACTTAAAAGATGCCGATCAACTAAAATAAACTTCCACGAAATATTATAATTATTTCTATACGTTAAATAATTTTTGTTATGAATTTATTTTCATATCATCTTGAAATGTGCTACTGTCCTATAACAATATGCTCAATTTTCATACTTTTGTGTGAAGTATTATTCAGAGACTTATATAATATATAACTATTATAAGACTATTTTCTAAAAAATAATTGTATGAACACATGACGCATAAAGCATACATATAAATAATATGTCAATGGTATAAAGCATGATATCTGGTGAGAAATGTGATTTTCAAAAATACTGATAATTAATGTAAACTTCTGATTGGTCGTAGAATTTTGCCCCCGAGACGCTGGTGATATACCTAACTACCTTCCGTGGTATACTAATATCTAACATAAATATATACGTCATAGACTAAATTTCATAGAGACTTGAATGAAATAGTATACGCGTAATATGGGTTATAAATACGTGTTTACATTTGTCGTGTTTGATTTCAACTTTATCTCGTTCAAAGATTAATATTATTATAGGTATTTGATGATTTGTTTAATGTGGGTAGTTACCATCACAAGTTACGAATTTAGTTTATAACGATTATGACCTGTGGGATTTAAAACCCTTTATCTCTTTGAGGTTTGAGTGAAATATCTCTATTCGCATAAATTCACGGACCAAATATTTTTAATACCGTTCAGAAGAAAACTCGAAGCACGTCATCATAATTATTATAATATTATAAATAATATATGTTATCTGGGTCAACATATTATTATTATAGTGTGATGAAATTACTTGTCGATCACGTATATTAAAACCATGGATTTAATTTTTTTGATTTTTTTCCTTGAATAACTCAATATTCATAAGTTTAAAATGTTGTTTTCAAACAATAACCTTAGAAATAGATATGGAAATAGTTATTTATAGATTAGTTCAAAACCATTAAACTGGTTTACCGTCAATTTTAACTTCTGCCAATAAAGTCTGGGGGCTCTTATATGAGTGGTACTTATATAATTTTATTATTTTATACTATTACATTATTAATTAGGAACCTTACTATCTGGTAAAATCAAAATTGTACTGTTTTTTATTAGAAAAATCCCATCATGCTATAACATAAATATTRTTATACAATAGGTTCTATAGTGTTAGATGTGTATATAATAATAATGTATGACATACAATAATAGTAAGTACAATAMTTTATGAATGGTTATTTTAATCATCATTGTAAGGTTGTAAACTCTTCAACGAGGTAATGCAATAATGTGAGTATAAGTTTCTACTTAACACTAATATATTATATATTCCTAAAATATAAAATAAAGTTACAAGAAGTAAAAATTATTTATGTATTTAGCACATTTTATAAACAAAACAKTRRATAAGTGTTATAATAATTATTTTAGTTCAATTCTAGCAAAATAGCTCACGAATATTCAAGACTAACTAAAAATGCACTGTATAGCAGAGCATATTTTAAGTAATGTTTACTGGGTGGTGGCACTTTGGTAACATTTTTACATTTTTATTTTTAGGAACATGTAGGTATAGGCGAAACCAACCTTCAGCCCAACGCTTTTTTCCCACGGAGGGGGAACCAGTGGTACGAACTTTGTATGTTAAAATTGCTCTTCTTTATAGGTAAACCKTTTTGATTTCATACACATAATATAGGTTCGCTATAGGTCCACTCGATATGTCCGAGTCGTAATAAACAGAAAACAAAATTTGATATTTTCTTGCAAACACTGTATGTATTACTACCATTGATTATAATATTTATAATAAATGGTAATATGTATAGATTTTAATAGCGGAAATTAAGTCACAAACAAATAGTCTGGCGACTGTGTTATGTGTTGTCGACAATTTAYTTCACAATCTAGAATTCATGTTTTTATATTGCCTTCCATGGAGCTGTCACCTTTGAACTGTGTAACCAATTATTTATATTCTAATAATGAATTTGATCATTATAATATTTGGTATAGTTTTGAACATTACGTAAACAAATACAAAATAATAATTTAATTATTTTGTTGGATTTCGTCATTGATTAAATTAGGTACAGTAATTAATTGTATTTCATATATTTATTTGAAAATTGTAAAACACTTATTGAATTCCAATGTTATTTGTAAGCTTTGAAAAAGGTACGAACAATTATTAATTTTATATGAATAATAATTAACTGATTTTAACTAAATTAAATTACTTTTATTTTCTAATCAACTTGAAACTTTTAAGTAAAAAAAATGAAGGTAACTTTAAGCTTAACTTACATTTGTCTGTATTAACTAGACTTAACCGCTTAAAAAAAAAAATAGTTAACTTGCCTAGCCTTGCATGATAAATATAAAATGTATAAATTATTATTTATTATAAACGTAAGACATTGAGTGGGTAAATATTTTATTTATTGTATTGGTAAATCGTTCATACATTTATATTTGTATATAGTTTGTTAAAAATGTTGTTCAAGACAAACGGAAAACAGCTTAGTGCACCTGGTATAATATACCATAATATACAATATGTATATACCATGCTTAAGATAAAATACATCGGACGCCATGATATTTTTTAAGTATGTACGACGAACGCGTTTCTTATGCGTGTAATAATATGTTTCTATTTATATAACTACATTATTTATCACGCGTATACATATAATATGTGTACACGAAAAATATGATATATAATTGTAAAAAAAATTAATGCGATGCACTTGTACAACGCGAAACGTTGTATAAACATTATGTTATGCTATTTTGAAAAGTGTTAGAAATAATCGTACTTAAGCCCAAATGCCCAATTTGATAGAACAGATTCTACTGTGCACCTATTTATTATATAATATATATATATATATTTACGTATTTACTATTATACTATGTTTATACGACCAAACCAAACTACTATTTCGGCCGTCATGATACTATTTTGCATATATACGACGAACGCTTTTTAACATTGTTACTATAATTATAACAATCGATAATAATCTGATTTTAAGCCGGGTAGGGTCAACAATTTTCTTTATGCAAAAACACTTTGTTTACTTCCAACTATAAAACAAAAATATTAATCAAATTCCCAACAAAATGCTTAGCATGCTTTTTTTGCTTAATATTTTTACAGTGTACTAGTACAGATACATGCGCATATACAAAAACACATCTGTGATCCATCAATTTTCTTTAGAGAGGGAAAATATCTGGAGTATGATATACTTATAATATGTGTTATAATATGTTATACGAACGACATTTTTGTTTTTTGTTCATATGTGTTCGTAAAATGTATCTACGTGATATTACTTTTATTATTATCACGTATATAGGTAAATATCATAAGGCGTATAGGTATGCGAACAACATATTTTTATTTTGTTTTAATATAAGTGTAAAAAATCAATGACGATGAGCTACAATCACACAACATGAAAAAAAACTATTAACTACCTAATTTATACCATCGAAGAAATTTCTATGTCATCTCGTACCTATACGCCCGTTTGGATAAAACAGTTTTTGAATGTACCTACTTATGGGCACCTATATCTATACATTAAGTCAAAAATATTATTTTCGTGTAAAGATTATAATTATAACCATGAGTCATCACGCAATAGCTATACCTATTATTCGTCCAGTTCGTATTGTGAAATAAACTAAACAATTTTTATAAGATATGTCTATTTATCTACTCTTAAAAGTCGCATGAATATTGTTACATTATATACTATAGCACCCCTGATTGTAAAAATCGATTTTGGCAGGTTAAGGGTGGTGTAGAAATTCATTATGTGATAACGATTGACCTTACAATTGTTGGTAATTTATGTTTATACCGATATCATATTGTCGTTACGTCGAAGATGGTGATCTGTGTAACGTGCACACATTACAGCTTATTCTCCATGAAAAAAAAACAAAACACTCTTGCAGATTTTTAGACGGTGTAGGTTCACATTTTTATTTTACGTTTAAAAATAAAATTACCCTTCTTATTATAATTTGTTTATGAGTTTAATTGTTTTTTGTGAGTTGACTAATCATTATTTCGGCCTTTAACAGCCTATATGGCGTATTTTGTAATTATAGAAATAATAATAATATATTATTATACCACTAAAAATTAGAATATCGTAGAAAAAACACAATTGCCTACTATATTATTTGGTTTGAATTCGGTAGGTATGTAGATATCAAATTGGAAAAGATATAAAATTATTGCAATACATTTCCTATATTATAAAGAATTGAAATTCTACGTAAAAAAAAAATAAAAATAAATTAGTTGCAAGACGCACTAAATACAATTTAAAATTCTTAAACTGTATATAGATTGATTATACATGCAATTAATGAATATTTTATAATGTTGTTCGCAATCAAATGAAGCTGTGTGCGTGCGTCAGACGAAACGAATTAAATGCGCGCACATACACACACACACCCACACGCGACTTTGTTATAGGGTGCGCTCCGAGTGTGGAAGTCGTCGTTGGGTTTCTTCGGGGGGCGTAGGCGTCTAGGGGTAGGTATATAAGCCRGGCACTTTGCGGGTGTTGGCCATCACTTTTGACTCTCGACTTTCAGCTACACGTCATTTGCGCACGGTGCAGCCACCACTCCAGTGCATCGCACACCGCACCGCTGAAATCTCTAATAACCACCACCACCCGAGTACATAATTATTACGTATTATTATTATTATAAAATATAATATCGTARCCGGAGGCGTGTCCGACCACCGCCGCACAAGAGACACATCGCACGTCTGCGATCAATCCGAATACCGAGTTTGGGAAACTTCTTTGGTGCCAGAGCCCTCAGACCTTCTCGACGTCGTMCACACACATTGCAATCAATTATAATAAYATAATACACCGTACCTACCCCGTGGAATCGCTGCAGGACGGTCACTGCAACTATAATAATAATAATATTCATATTAATACACTCCGTCACCATCATCATCATGCGCAGCACCCTTTTGTTGTTGGCCGTGTTCATGTTGTGCGCGTGCATCGCAGTGGGTCAGGTGAACTTCACACCGACGTGGGGCCAGGGCAAGAGGAACGCACCGGCGTCCGACGAGTGCAAGTCCATGGACACGCTCATCTACATCTATAAGCTGGTCCAGGTAAAAACGCCGTTTTTCGTTGATTTTTTTTCTTTCACTACGTTCGTTTCGTGAATTTTTCATCCGCACTCGGACCATCTCTATATCATAGMTACAATATAATAATAATAGTTTAGGTATTTCGTATGATATAACCGGCCGTGACCAACCACTCGTCGGTTGGTAAATTTATTTTAAACTTTACACGAGTTTGATGACGTACTCTGCATGTTGCGCACGACGATTTATTAAAATATGAAATAAATACGTTTTATATACACAGACATGGGCAAAACTATACGGTAAGTCCGTAAAACTGACTGGATAACATATACCTGACATATTATATAGTGACTTGATAAAGTATAAAATTTAAATTAAATCGTATTATTTTGTAATTAGATTTTGTTGCTTATTTTCATAATTTAGTCGRTCCTGATGAAATGTTCTAGTTTCGCATATTATATATGCACCACACAGGTTATTTACTTATACGTGTACTTTATACAACATAACATCCTAAACATTTTAGACTTAATGATGGATAATAATAAATGTATTTCGTCGTCCGTACACATCCAAATCGAACGACTTCATTCATTATATTCTTCAATAATAATATAAATAATAATACATAATAATTAATATCCGAGTAGACCGTTTGTTATAGTATAATACCATCAGTTAAACACATGGAATAAGTACCGAAAACGTTTGCGTCTATAATAAATCATAATCGCAGTGCATTAAATATTATTGTAATATATAATTACGTGCATGATATGAAATATTTAGTCGAGACGGTCGCAATTTTACCTTGAATCAAGAAAAATATACTATACCTTCAATTTTGTTTTCATCATAGATTTTGTTAYACGCAAACGTTATTTAATAAACTGCAAATTTATCTCAATATGTAACTGTTAAGGTATGATTGTTTTATACTAGAAGCTTTAAAAATAAAAAATAAAAATGTATCTCAATTTCGCTATTTTCTAATAATTATTGTGGGCCAATATTTTTATTTATTTTTATCTTATATACATATTTTGTTGTATTATATTGTTGCTGCTATTTTTTCTCGTACAGTTTCACAAAATACACCAACATGTATCTCATAGCTGATAGTTCAAATGTACAATTTTTCTGATCTATTATTTTTTATCGTTCGAATCACATGTAAACGTAGTCACTTCAATTTAAAATTATTGCCGACATATATTATATTATACAACTACACAATATTAAAATCTCTTAGAACATTAGGCGTATAATATAAATAATTCTTRTTTAATTTTTCTTGATGCTTATCCTAGTGATTGCGCTTCTACATTAGTTAAAAGGTCGGTAACGATTACAGTMATCATTAATTCAGCGATATATTATTATAATGTACCAAATTCGTCATAATAGTCGTCTGACAAAAAATGTCCATCACGTCGCACTTTATRTCCAATGCCCATAAACGATTTTTTGTAAAATAAAAATGCTGTTCTCCGAAAAAAATAAACCCACTCATCTCCAGACCGCTAGATTGTACAGATGACGCACATTTACTTTTATGTATCGCACTATATAGTTCGTCGACACAAATTAAATATTAATTAAATATTATATGTATTAATTGCAGTGCACGAGTGGTTAAATTAMGTTTTTTCGGAAAAAGAAAAATTTTAATTAATAATATGTCTGATGGATATAATCTGACGTATGACTGACAAATTTCGAAATATACCTATTATATTCAACGTCGCCAGAATTTTTTTCTTATCTTAATTATACCGTTGACTCCACGAAAGCAAACAGTCGACGCCAAGTCTACGTGGTTCTCAGACTTCAACATAATTTTTAATCCGTAACCCTAGACTTTTTCAGTAAACGCTAATATTATTCTCGTTTAATAGTTAATTATTATTATTTTTTTATGTACCTATTATAATAATATGATGGAAAAAAAAAACAACGCTTATGGAATTAAGCTGCAAAATAAAATACCTAATAACCTATATTKTAAGAGATTTGTGCACAAACGAATATTGCTCTAAGAATCAAGAAACATTTTTTCATCATCCATAGTCAATTGATAGAACAATCACAGACAATAAAATACTTAGATAAATCTTTAAAACTTGGGTTTTGGTTCATCACATTTTACTAAAAATTCCAAAAACTCCAAATCCTTATTCCTTACCTTTGTTTTGAATCGACTGAACTACAAAAGAGTGTAGTAAGAATCTGTTTTTGACGGAAAAGTGCATGAAGACGAGCAAAAGTTGACTAAATGTATCTAACACGGCCGGTGATTGGGGTGTAATCGAAACGTTCGTCGTCTACACATTCTAAGCACTAAACATTTCGTGTTTATACTTAAGAAAATATTCAAACGCTTGATGGAGCTTCAATAGTTTTTAGAATGTTGAAATAAGCACTCTTTAAACAAAATCGTCTGCGGATGATTTTACGACAAATATATTATAATAATATATTTCCATATTATAATGTGATTCATATATTGTAAACGCAATATTATTTTGCTAAAATTTCCTCTTTTTTTTTTTTTTCATTTCCGCAGAACGAAGCGCAACGGATTGCAATGTGCGAACGTATGTCCATCACGTCYTGAACAACCACAGTTTTGCAAGAGATGACCGCCACCATATTACACCATACGCCAGCCATAGATCATCGTTAACGACGGGACTTAACCTCATACCATGACACTCTGTCAGCCACAGTGTAACACATTTTTACTTTTAGTCACATTATCAAGATGGTAATAATTATAATAAAAATAACATAATAATAAAAAATTCAACCGTTTGCAATTATTATAATATCCACCGAACCACAATCTATTATTATTACCACAAACCTTCACTGTTATGTTTATTTTCAATATGTTTTAGACGATGTTTTAGTTTTCTTGCTAATAATTTATTCAAAATACATTGCTTTCACTATTAAAACAAAAAACAACCACATATTCACTGCACATCGTTATTCTTTTGTATGTTATATTATGTTTTTATTCTCTATACCTACTCTGGTAATTTTTTAAAGCAACATAACAGCATAATATTAATATAATGTTGACATATTATTTGTAACTGGTATATGAATGAAGCAAATAAGAACAATAATATTATAAATTGTCATAAAATTATAACAACTGTAATAACTTTATGAGTTCCTGGTCGCAATAAGTAGGTATGTATGTACGATATGTTTGTTATCAGAATTTTGATATCCTAAAAAGTGAAAATTCAATAAAAATAAAAGCGAGCAAGTGGCTAACGATCTATAGAGGATCRCTGCTGTAATGGTTTTGTTAATGAAATAAAATCATTGACGAAAACTATTTTGAGAGTATTTTTGGTCTGTCGTTTATAATATTATACTAAAAGTACATACTGCTTATATTTAAAGATATTATTGTGATTAAAGTATATATATAATTTTTRCTATTAGGAATTATTACAACAAAACAACTAAAATTATTTTTTTTCTAATTTCTTCCAAATTTGAACTTAAAATACCTATAAATAAACCGTATTTATAATTGGTTTAGTTACACTATAAAGTTTATAGTACAATATTATAGTATAACTATTTATGAGATACCTTGTTTTAAATTTTAAATCTGTAGATAATAATTTAATACCTATACCTATTAAATACATTTTTAATTTATAAAATAATTTGCAAATTTTTGTATTTTAATGAAATTCGCCAAAATTCTAACTTCAGACATTTATAATAAAAAATCGATTTTCCCTAACAACCACTTARAAGAACATTGTATTAAATTTTCAAGTTTTTGACCATGTGAAATTTTTTTATTGGTAATAATTTAAATAAATAAAAATCGAAATATTCTCATGCCTATTAATAACTCAAAAATGCAATTTAAACATTCCATAAAAATTCTATTTATCTACTGATAAATTTTTCTAGTCCAAAATACAAAATMAATTTTTTTTTTAACTGGTTTGAGTTTGAGTAAAAATATCAGTTTTCCTTGATTTTTGTTTTTTGTCCTTCCTGCCGCTTTTGTAAACTTTTAGGAATTTTTTGCTTTTGGCTGTCTCATTTTTATACTCCTGAACATTTTCAACTAGATTCAAGATTTACTTTTCTACCACAAAAGATGATGATATAGGTACACAAAAAAAAAAACATATTGTAAAATCAATAAATTAATCGCTCCACTCAGAATACCTATAGTAAGTATACTATATAAATGTATTGTACATTTTTTGCATCATTAAAAGTGTTTGGTYTTTTTTTGTGGGAATATACCACTGTCAAATAATGATACACTAAAACTAAAAAAAAAAATAGACAAAAGTTATAAAGGTAATGAAAATAACAAAACATGTTTTCCGCTAACGTTTTTATGCTGCGCAAAAATAAAAACAAACACCTTTGGGAATATTTCAAAATACCAGGCAGTCGATATAATTATGACGAACACTACGAGTTTAATAATATGCTCACACTCCAGTACGTCACACATTATTAATATTTTGTTTGATGTAAATAGTTTTGCCATCGAAATGATTTTTTCACATTTCTTCACCAAGGATCGACCGAATAATGCATACGATATAACTATGCAGTATACAATATAGGTACATGAATTATTATTCCATTATAATAATTTACACATCAGTCGTCATTGTTTCAATGATGTTTAAGATGCATAATGGACTTAACTATTCACTCATTTCGTTAATAACGTCGACGTAACATATAATATATTAATTATTATATAGTTTTACGCTGCAAATTGATTTGACCATGTGCATGTTTCTAATTTCAATATGATAGTATTTGATAATACAATTATTAGTCGATCAATTGAAATGTTTTCGATCGGTGCATATAACTAAATTCCAAATTTAAAAATKTATAATAAAATACATCGATTTAAATGCATAATATGCCGGTGCCAACTTGACGGACGTGCATAATGTATACCTTTTTGAACACCTGAATTCATGTCAAAATAAAAAAAAWATATCGTTTTTAGACCTTTCTACRATGYGATAACGTTGTGAGACTTTGGCTGAACCGATGTTAATTCCGTAAAAACAAAACTTCATTCGTTGAAATTGTTTTCTAAGAATKAACTTAGACGATTTAAAATATAAGATATAATAGTTTAACATTGGTATGAATTAACAAAATTGCAGCACAATCTGAGTATTGGTATCTCACGCAGAAATTACTTAGTTTTCCATGTGACATCAACTACATGACATCCCAACTGTTTTCACGTCTCTTAACCCTAGTGTCACATCGTTTATTAAAAAAAAAATTWAAAAAATTWATTCAACTTAGGTAAGTTTTCATAACGTCGAACTACACTTTTCACAGAGCTAAAGTAAGGAGTGGATAACGAAAATCATGAGAGCTGCGGAAATCATTGACACTGACACGCAGAAATTACTAACCAGCTAAAGTCTCACAACTGTGTTGAAGAAGTGATTACTGATAAGAATTATGTTAGTTTGCAGTCTCTATATTAATATYGTATAACTATAGTCATATTATATAAGAGTTCATAACACTCGTACTAAACTTAGAAAGTTGACAACACATAAGACGCGGACGTAAGTGACGTTACTCATTTTCTTAAATCTAAGAAAAATATACACCAAATCAATTAAACGATTGCAATTTAGTTGTATATGTATGTATAGGTTATAGGTATAGGAATGTTCATGTATATGATGTAATATGTATTTGAATTTTATCGATGACCTGCACCATTTTTGTATTAATTTCGCTAGACATTTGTATATTATGTATACTTAAATAGCCGGTGTGTTMTTATATAACTTTTAAGTAAACATGTATAATTTTTTTTCATTTAAATAATCTGCAACAAATTTTATCATTATCTTATTATTTTCATTTCTTATACTTACTTGTTGACTGTTGTTTTGCTGATATTATTTATGTTCAGTCTATACTGTATAWTCATTMTGCATTTGTTGTTATTATTACACATGAATTAGTTTGTTTTTTCATATTCATTACTTAAATTTTAAAAGTAGGGAAAACAAATATATATATATATATATAATATTATATATTTGGTTTAGCGAGTTAAGTTTTTAATGAAACGATTGGCAACTATAATGGTCATTGTTCTGATGGTGTAAATCAGGGGTGGCCATCTTGCGTCATAGTCGTATGCGGCTCGCGTCTTATAAGAAAAAAAAAACAATATTTACTCATTAACGATAAAATACGATCCCTAGTATAAATATTTGTTTTGCTTCAGAGAGGAGGGGATTTTACTTCAGGAGCCATTGGGGAGGCTGATAATTCGTTATATATAACAATAGAAAGGGATTAACTATGGGATGTCGTATGGTAAATAATACATTTTAGACTTTATCTTCATTCGTGGTTAATACTTTGGTAATAATATTATTGTGTTTGCAAAATACTGAAAGCATTTCTAAACAATTAATCTTGCATTATTTTGGTGGAAGCTACATTACCTACTTCCAGAATTCCAATCACTATACGCCGTTGGATGTGTACTTTCAATATTTGTCACTATTATCATAATCTCTGTCGCTGTGTTGGCTAGCAGTAGTTCAATACTATATTGTACCGCACCGTGTATTGTAAATACRTTGTGAATAGCCGTTGTGATGTATTTGGGTCTATACCCCGACCCGTGTAAAATTATAATTTATATCCAATCTGCGTTTTGCGCAAAGGAAAACTTCTTCATCGTGTCTCCTGCAGTGTCGAACACGTGTTGTTGTGTTTGTGAATGGTGTCGGCTACATCACTAAATTTTACGTGTTTTACGCACCCCGCGGAAATGCGTACAACATGAACAACGGAACAACTACATTTTCCGGAAGCAGCTATACATAAAATAGGTGAGGCATTCTATAATAACAATGTATAAACTGTACAATATGCACGATGTAAAAACAATGTGATGCTGGAATTAAGATGGCAATGGATAATGGAATCAAATATTGACGTTGGTTTGTTTAAAACCTTTAAGTTATATAAGAAAATGGTAAATAAAAAATTAAATTACTAACATGGATAATTTCTATTATATCTGTATTCYAGTCAAATTGTTATATTTATTCTGTAATTCTAAAATATTTATGATAAGCTTATAATCACTAAATCATCTACGAACGATCGACTTTTATTGTGTTAATTTAATTATTTTAGTAAATGTACGAGATATTTTTAAGAACCTTGTCTCCACAGCAAGCCTAGCTTTTATGGAGACAATTATTTATGTATAATGCCATATTATAATAAGTATAAATATTTGTATTAATTTACATGTATATACATACATTTCTATTTTTAAATGAAAATAAATATTAAATTTAAAAAAAAAACCCGTCACAATTGATCACAACATGATGACACTGGACATTCCGGTGAAATAGTCACAGTTAGTGATTAGTTATCATAGACTGATAGAGACAGCGACAAAGACTGAGGGAGAGATAGGGAGATACAGAGAGACAGTGACTGRAGGAGAGATAAAAAGATAGATAAAATTATAATATTCAAAAGTGGTGAAATTGTATGTAGTCAAGTTTAGTTTTTCATAATACATATAACTAAATTTGATGTACATCAATGTTCATAAAGTATATAAATATATTACTATGATAAACCATCACTAATCAGAATATCAATAAATGTATTTAATGATAGATAATCATAAATCATTTATAAATGCATTTATGGATTTTCTCAAAAAATCAATACATATCACTGAAAAATTCATTTTCAATACCATCATACC